GGCATTAGAGCTAGAAGGGACCTTAACCTTAGTTAAGACCACAGGTTCTTAACCCTTCTGTAACCTGGACTCCTTGAGCAGTCTGGTGAAGCCTATGAACTGCTCTTCGGAATAATGTTTTTAAATGTATAAACATATAGGATTACAAAGGAAACCAATTATACTTAAATATAGTTATCAACTATATTGGGCAGCTAGGTGGCGCTGCAGAGGATAGAGTCCTAGACTTGGACTCAGCAAGACTCTTCCTAAGTCCAAATCTGGCCTCAGCTACTGACTAGCTGGGCAAGTCACTTCACCCTACTTGCCTCAGTTTCCTCATTTGTAAAATGAGCTGGAGAAGGAAATGGCAAAACTCTCCAGTATTTTTGCCAAGAAAACACCAAATGGGGTCATAAAGAGTAGGACACAACTGAACAACAATGAAACATAGATATCAAAATGTTTTTAAAAAAAAAAAAAAGACAAGTTCATAGATCCCAGATTAAGAAATACTGAATCTATAGAGAAATGCAAATTAAAACAACTCTAAGGTACCACCTCACACTTATCAGATTGGCTAATGGACGGAAAAGGAAAATGACAAATGTTGGGTGGGGATGTGGGAAAATTGAAACACTAACGCATTGTTGGTGGAGTTGTGAAATGATCCAACCATTCTGGAGAGCAATTTGGACCTATGCCCAAAGGGCTATAAAAATGTGCATACTCTTTGACCCAGCAATAGCACTTCTAAGGCTGTATCCCAAAGAGACCATAAAAATGGGAAAGGACCCACATGTACAAAAATATTTATAGCAGCTCTTTCTGTGGCAGCAAAGAATTGGAAATTGAGGGGATGTCCATCGATTGGGGAATGGCTGAACAAGTCGTGGTATGTGAATGTGATGGGATACTATTGTGCTATAAGAAATGATGAGCGGGTGGACTTCAGAAAAACCTAGAAAGACTTGTATGGATTGATGCTGAGTGAAGTGAGCAGAACCAGAACATTGTACACAGTAACAGCCATATTATTCAATGGATGACTAACTTTGATAGACTTAGCTCTTCTCAGCAATGCAAGGATCTAAGACATCTCCAAGGAACTCATGGTGGAAAGTGCTATCCACATCTAGAGAGGGAACTGTGAAGTCTGGATACAGATCAAAGCATACTATTTGCTTTTTTTTTTCTTCTGTTTTATTTTGTTTCTTCTTTCTTGTGGTTTCTCCTATTGGTTCTAATTCTTCTTTACAGCATGACTAATGTGAAAATATGTTTAATAGGAATGTATATGTAAAGCCTATATCAGATTGCATGCTGGCAATCTGGGAAGGGGGAGGGGAGGGAGGCAGAGAAAATTGGGAACTCAAAAGCTTATGGAGGTGAATGTTGAAAACTAAAAATAAATGAATTAATTAAAATTTTTTTTTAAAAATTTAAGTTAAAAATATTTCTAGTAGCACTTTTTGTGATGGGCAAAGAATTGGAAATTGAGGTAATGCCCAGCAATTGGGGAATGGCTGAACAAGTTGTGGTATATGATTATGATGGAAAACCTGGAAAGACTTACATAAACCGATGCAAAATGAAGTGAGTAGAACCAGAAAAACATTGTACACAGTCACAGCAATATCGTACAACAGTCAACTGTGAATGACTTAGCTATTCTCAGCAATACAGTGACTCAAGACAGTTCTGAAGGATTTGTGATGAAAAATGCTATCCACCTCCAGATTCCAACTGATGGAGTCTGTATGCAGATCCAAGCATATTTTTTTATTTTCTTTATTTTTCTTGTTTTTTTTTTTAATCTGTGTTTTCTTTCACAACATGACTAATAGGGAAAGATGTTTTGCATGACTGTACATGCAGAACCTATATCAAATTGCTTGCCTTTTCAGAGGTGGGGAGGGGAGAAGGAAGGAAAGAAGAGAACCTGGAACTCAAAAAAATGTTTTAAATGTTAAAAATCATTTTTACATGTAATCAGAAAAAATAAAATATTTTTAATTAATTTAAAAAAATGGAGAAAAAAGAATCCCTGAATCTAGTCCAGTACCCTGTGGGCTTCAGTGTCAAGATAGTCAGTGGGGTAGGAATGGCAGGAAAGGGACAGGCTGGGGTTTTTCAAGAAGAAAGAAGAAAAAGATAAAGCAAACGTCAGCATGGAGGAAGCTTGCTTTTTCACCACTCACCCATCCTCTGAACGATGGCGTGGACTGACCTCTGGCCATTAGCAAGCTTAAGGGCAAATGAGTGCATGTATGCAGCAGGGGCGAAGCAAGAGCTGCGGCCGGAGCAGGGGCCCGTCATCCAATCGGGATTGCCGAGGGAGCCAAGAGCCCAAGCAGGAGACAGAGATCGTCCAGAGCACCCCGGATTCCTGGCTCACCCCACCTGGCTGGCCACTGACCCACTGAAAGATTTCATCACGAGGGGAACAGCTTGGGGATGGACACTCACAAGCTCCCTACGGCGCTATTGTGGAGAGAAAATGAGTGCCGGCTTTTGGCTTGCTTGCAAACAAAGGAGAGGCTTGAGTCTGAGCTCCTAAACTATGTTTCCTTGAGCTCCCTGGTTTGGGTTTTTCAGTCAAAGGGTTTGGGAAACAGCCGCAGGCTGCCATCCCATTGGATGGTTTTGGTTTCGTTGTTTATTCGTGGCTCTCGGCTCTTTCCACGTGTTCACACTGTTGCTCCCCATAGACAAACTCCCTTACCTCCCAGTTGAGCCAAGAGCACACCTCAGTCAGGCAGTCTTGAGCGGGGCAGATCTGTGCCACCATTGACTTCCTCAATTCTAGCTCCACTTCCCCTCTGAGAGGTCACCGCCTGATGGAGGAAAACAATGGTGCGCCACACCCCAGTGCCTAGTCAAAGAACCTCAATCCTCGGGCAGTTTACTGATAAAAACTCTACCAAGTTGTGAAATAAGGGGCTCTGGCCCCGTAACAGGCTACCTTTGCCAACACTACCAGGCAGGGAGTGGGTCAGAAGGTTCAAAATCCCATACTTAGCCATCTACCTAGAGGTGCCCCAGGAAGCCCACTTCAAAAGGTGTGTTTGGCTGACGTGTGCAAATGGTGATTTGCAAGAAGCAAGATGCATGAAAGGGTGACTCCCAACCACAGCAGAGATAAAACTATGCACACTTGCCCTGTGGCAAAGGCACCCAAAACTTGACATCACCGAATCTAAGATGGCATGGTTATTTGTCTTTAGATCAATGAAACTCAGAATTCTTCAGGGGAACAGGAAATATTAGAACTATTTGCATATGAAGACAGGCAATATGGTAGGGAATGGTATTAGCCATATTATCAGAATTGAGAAACTGAATCTTAACCCAAGCATGGAGGGATTGGTTATATGATGTGAAGTTTTGAAAAGCAGTCTGGTCTAATGGAAAGTGCCCTGGATTTGAATGCAGAAAATCTTGGTTCAAATCTTGGCTCTGCCAAGATGGCTGTATAAGAACGGGCAAGTTATTTTGCCTCTATCGTCCTCCAGTTCTTCTCTTGTAAAATAAAAGGTTGTAATACTTGGGTCAAAGACATAAAGAAAAATCATATATACATACATATATATGTATGTGTGTATAATAGGTCACTATACACATACAAATACACCCCAACATACTCATAGATGTATTTTTGTGCTAACAAAAACGAATGGGAAACAAAGCCCCTCATTAGCCAAATGAAATGGCGAAACAAAATATTACTCATGTATGAACGTAACGGAATATTGTTGGATCATACAAACAACAAATATGAGGAATTCAGAGATATGTAGGAACACTTATATGAATTAATGCTGAGAATTAGGAGAAACACATCTACAACAACGAGAAAATAAACGAAAATTCTCAAAGGCAGTAAAACACAAACGAAACTCAATGAACAATCTTGATGGGGAGAACAGGTGATGGTGAGGAGGACCGCAGGGGTGGCATGTTGCGTCTACTTTCAGACGAGCTTGCTTTGTTGCTCAGTTTTGCCCAGCTGTTTTTCTTTGTTCCAAAAGAGGGTTCGATAAATGGGAAGGAAAATAAACAGAAGGCCTCCCTTACAAATAGAGAAAGAGGTCCCTTCGAGTTCACATGTTCTCTAGTCCTGCAATCAGCTGGCATGGAAGCTTAGAGAGCATCAGAGCTAGAAGGAACTTTGCTAACTACCTAGGCCAACTTCTCCCCCACTTTTATACATTCAAGGTTCTTAGATGCAAAGCTAGAAGACCATCCAATACAACTTCCTCACTTTACAGATGAGGAAACTGAGGTCCACAGAAGGTAAATAGCATACCTGAAGGCAAAAAGCTAGTGAGTAGCAGACCTTAGTGTTATTTAAATCCAGGTCATTTGCCTCCAAACCCAGTACTTTTCTCCAAACCATACCACTGTACCACGTTACCTAGGCAAGCTCTGTTCTGTTGAGCCAAGGGGAACGTTAAACTAGCTTATGAAGTGATTATTAGAGACGCTTATCACTAGTTCACATTTCTACAGTGCTGTACAGTTTTGCCAAGAGCTTTATAACCATCATCCTCACAACAGCCCCATGAAGTAATATTTTAAGTACTGTAAGTATTACATAAGTAATGTAAGTATTATTATCCCCATTTACAGATGTGGAAACTGACACACAGAGATGAGAAGTGACTTCCTCAAACTCACCCAGCTAAGAAGTGGCAAAGCCATCGTTCTATCGTGAGTCTGCTTACTGCCAAGGCAGGGCTCTTTCCACTATACCAGAAACCATGGTCTAGTTGGAAAGAAGAGATGTACATACGAAATGTTGGCAATATAAGGCAAGAAGGTTCTGTTGAGCTTTAAGTGAAAGGAATTGGGTACTACATTCCAAGGCAAGCATTACTCCTCTCGTCTGTTGTCAACTGGCTTCCATTTTCTCTCTCTCTCTCTCTCCCAGTTATCCCCACTTTCAGGATTAGTTGGAGACGTGAGATTCAGTTACCATGCAGAGATTCCCCCCAAAAAAGAGTCAGAAAAGCACTTACTTGGGATGGTGAGCCAGCCCCGTTCTCTTCACCAGTGTCGTGTATAGCCAAGTGGCACCAGGGCCAAAAATCACTTAATCTTTCTTCTTCCTGGCGATATATTTAGTTGTGGGCCTTGAGTAAATCGTCTATCTAGAGTGAGCCATGAGGAGTTTGCTAGGCTCCATGCCCAACGGCAGATTTCACAAGAAATATCTGAATCACAACTGTTAATAAGCCTCTGTGCAATCTGGAAGAGGTAATGTTTCTATCCTCACGGCTCAGCTAATTGTCTTCAAGTTTCCCTCTGAGGAACTAAAGGCTGAAGCCCTTCTCCGTGGGAATGAGGTCTAAGTCTCTGGACAAGTTAAAGCTTGGGTTCAACACCAAGGAAACTGCCTTGTGAAGGATCTGACACACCAAGAGTTGGAACCATGTTGGGCTCTGCCAAGGGTGTAGTCCATGGGACCACTGCCATGGGCAAAGTTTGGGGCGGGGTTAGTCCTCCAGCTCAGGGCTTTTGACATTGAGGCATGGCTTTCTCTCACAGGCATTGAATTATCAAGTAAAAACAGCCTAAAATAACAATAAACCTAAAATAACCACCTTGTATCTGCGTAGCCCTTTCAACTTTCACGAGAATGACAGAATTTAGGGCTGGAAAGGACTTTAGAGAATTTCTGATCCAACCCTTTCATTTTACAGAGGAAAAATCTGAAGGCCACTGACTTGCCCAAGGTCACATGTCAAATATTTGGTAGATCAAGGATTTGAACCTGGGACCTTGAACTCAAGATCTACTTCTCTTTCCACGCCGCTGTGCTGCCTCTTACAGTAAGGCTTTGGGCAAGTCACTTCCCTTCTCTGGATCAAATCCCAAATCCTCTTTTTGGGGGGCCTTCCTACCTTTCCAGGCTCCCTCCCCCTTCTCCTCCTGGCTTCCCTGGCTTCCTTCAAGTCCCAGATCAAATGCCTCCTTCTGCAAGAAGTCTCTTGCTCTCCTCAATCTTAGTCCCTTCCTTCTGTTGATTATTTCCAATTTATCTTGTACCTAGCCTGTTTGCACAGGGCTATTTGCATGTTGTCTCCCATTGGACTGTGAGCTCCTTGAAAGCAGAGACTTTTTTGTCTTTCTTTGTAACCCCAGCTGTTAGCCATTCAATGCCTATAATATTGGCTATTCGGTCGTGTCTGATGCACGTGACCTCATGGATCACAGCATGCCAATACTATCCATGGGGTTTTCTTGGCAAAGATGCTGGAGGGGTTTGCCATTTCTTTCTCCAGCCTGTCACATAGTAGGTGTTTAATAAATGCTTGGTGAGTCTGGCTTCAGTTTCTCCCTCTGTAAAATGGGAGAGTTGAACAAGATGATCTCTAAGGTCCCTCCTAGCATGAGGTTCAATGACACCATGAAAGTCCTCTTTCTTTTGGGTTGTCATAAAGGCCATAGTGCCATTACCCAGCATTTGGGAAAGTTTTCCATGAATGTCTAGGTAGTGGCCATGTCCTGGCAAGAGCATAAATAATTCAGATCCTTGCTGAGAACCCAAAGAAAGAATCTGATGACCTAATCTGAGCCCTCATTTCATACCTCTAGCTTTCCGGATGAGCAGATGAATAACTGATGAAATAACAGTAACCTATGTATGTTATACACACTGTTTATGTTGCCAAGAGACTGTCTGATTCTAAGATAGTGATGGGGAATTACAAACTAATGAATAATAATGAGTAAAGAGGCCCTGCCACCCCACCCTCCACAAACAGTCTGCAAAGTCAGTGTTGAGCTTTGAGATCATGGGCTCAGAGGATTTCACTGGCAAAAACCTTAGAAATCATCTGATTCAATGCCCTCATCTTTCAGAGGCCCAAAGAAGAGAGGTGACTTTTCCAAGGTCACACTAGGTAGTAAGTGGCACATCCTGGAATTTCAAATCCAGAGCTTTTTCTCTCTTTGAGACAGATCCTCTGGTGCTGCTCTCCCACCCCTTACATTTTACACACAAGGAAACCAAAGCTCAGAAACCTTAAAGGATTTGCTTCTGATCACACAGATGAATTTTGGAAAAACTCCTCACTAGCCATGCTCCCTTATTGGCTGGCTGACAGGAACTGGTGACCCAGGCAGTTTGGGGGAGGCTAAGTGGCCCCTGACCCTCTAGTACCCTGGATGGAGCAGCCCCTCTCTGAATTCCCATAGGAGGGAATTCAGTCAAATTTTTCTTGGTGAACACTGTTCTCCAATACAATTGCCAGAGCCCTTATATTTGCCCTGAGGTCACTGAAGCAACCAGTGAGGGCACCAGATGTCTTTTAACCTGAACCCAGAAGCCTCCAGGAAGGGCAAGGAGACATAGTCAGATTTAAAGTCAAAGGGCATGAGTTCAAGCCCCAGTTCTGTGTGGCCTGGAGCAAGTCACTTCCCCTCCCTGAGCCTCAGTTTCCTCCTCTGTAAAATGAGGAGCTTGGACTAAATGATCTCTAATGTTCCTTCAAGCTCTAAATATATGATCCAGAACCCTTGCCAGGTGGTCTCTCTTCTTCCCTGTTCTTGGTCCCCCAGCCTATTTCCTGACCTAAGCATATAGCTCTGATTCCCAGTTCTTCAGGGCCAGGATTTTCCATTAGGTACTGAAAATTGAGGCAATTTCCTAGATTGCAACCTCTGTTGCTGATGACTTGGGGTGCTTCCAAAAAAGAATAGAGACCCAAATTTCCTGTACATACATGCAATCAGCCTATTTATTCAGTTTAATAATAAGCATTTATTAAAGGTCTATTATGTTCCAGGCTCTAGAGATTAAAAAACAAAACAAAACAAAACAAAAATAAAAATAACTGTCCCAGCCCTCAAGGAGTTGGAGAAACAACTGATACACAGATAAATAAAAGGTAGTTTGAAGAGAGCGTGAGAACTAGCAAATGGGACATTGAGGGAACACTTCCTGTAAGAGGTGGCACAGGGCCTGAGCCATGAAGGAAGACAAGGAACCTGAGAGAAAGAGATCAGGAGGGATGACATTGAATAATAGGGAACAGCCTTGGCCCACACAGAGAAGAAAGAGATAGGATGCAGAGTCCAATGTCGGCAGAAAATAGAAAGCATGATAGGGAGCCGTGTGAAGTAAGGCTGAAAGGGTGGGTTGTAGTCAGATATTACAGGGTCCTGAGACCCAGACTGGGGAGCTTGTAGCTTAACCTTGAAGCAATCAGTTTTTTGAGGAGGAAAATGGCAGAGCTACTGATTGAGTGGTGACATGTACAAGGCCCATGCTTAGCACTGGAGATGCAAAAATGGGAACCACAGTCCCTGGATTCAGACACTTCCTAGCTTGTGACCCTGGGCAAGTCACTTCACCTCTGTCAGCCTCAATTATCTCATCTGTAAAATGGAGGTGATGATAATAATAATAGTACCTTTCTACCAGAGTTCTTGTGAGAACCAAATGAGATAATATTTATAAAGTGCTCTGTCAACCTTAAAGTGGTATATAAACACTATTATTGGTATCATTATTGTTAGTAGAGAGCTTATAGTCTACTAGGGTAGATATGAAGTGTTCACAAATAAATATTATACAAGGAAGAATGTGAAGGGAGCAAAATGCTCTAGGAAAATTTCAGGAGAGAAAACACTTTGGTGAGGGCTGGGGAAACTTTCTGAGGGATGAGGAGGTTCAGTGTTGTGCTTGAGCTCGCTCTGCAGCGTAAACTGATTGTGCAATTTTCAGTGTGAGCATTTACACCTCAGAAATTAGCAAAAGCTACAAAGCAGGACCTGAATTTTGCTTAACGAATCAAAGAAAACGATGGAGAAAATGTTGATAATGCAGATTACACTTCAAAGTATGACATGTGTGTGTGTGCGCATATGTGTGTATGTGTGTATATTTTCCCTAGAGATCGACTTGTTAAATATTTACCAGCACACCCCTGGAGAGGTTCCTAGCTCTACAATTGGAAGGAATCTTAGGATATAGAATCATAGATTGTAAAGCTGCCAGGGGCCTTGAAAAATCATCTAGTTCAGTCCCATATCTTGCAGATGGGGAAACTCAGGCTCAGGATGCTAAGTTGACTTGCCTAAGGTCACACGGTATTAAGTTGCAGAGCTGGGACTTAAGCAAAGGCCCTCTGACTCCACTCGGTCAGTCAGTAAACTTTTATTAAGCACCTACTATGTGTCAGGCACTGTGCTAAGTGATGGGGATAAAATCCAATAAAGAAAGATAATCTCTGCCCTCAAAGAGCTTAAGGACGTCCAAAGTTGTGAAGCCAAGTGGGAAATGCATAGCTGGCTGGCCTGGGCACCCTTCTTAAATGGAGGCCTTGAGAAGAGTCCTCCTCTTGGCCTTCCAGTCACAAGAAGCCCAGGGCAGAGGGCACCTTTGGAGAAAGGAAGGGATTTCTCTCTCTTCCCGTATCCCACCAATGAATCTTACAACAGAGCTACTCACTCAGTTGGAGGCACCTGCGAGCAGCAGACTCACGGATCCCGGAAGATTGACATGTCCAGCAGAAATATTTCACCAAGGTCAGCAATATGACAACACTATGAAGAGAAAAAGGCTATCAGGGCCCTGCAACATCATAGTCATGAGTTGCCTTGGCTGCACGTGTCCCCTACGTGTGTGCCTCTCTACCAGCGTACTCTATGTGTATGCACACTCTTGCTACTGATGTCATACTTGTGAAGAGTGAACACTGTAAGCGAACTTAGAGTGGATATGTTTTGTAGCTATTTTTCTTACAATGACATCTCAGTAAATACCTCTGCTTTGAGCTAATTGTGTCCTTTTGCTGACTATTAAAGGTAAATGTACTGATGGGGGCTTGCAAGCTCTAGTTTTTAGGAGTGCAGACCAATAGAGTATCTTGAATGTGGGTTCCTGGAGGACCCAACCAGGAATTTGAGTTGGGGAGCAGCCTCAGAGGTGTTGCTACATAGAGGAGGAAACTAAGGACCAGAGAGGAAAGTGATTCACTATGTAGTAAGGGGCAAAGGCAAGCTTATGCCAGGGGGCTCCTGACTCCCAGTCCCACGATCATCCCTTTATACTATACTCCATGGATTCCTTCCAGGATTCCTTCCACCTGACCTCCTAAATCAACCCCCCAAATGACTCTAGTTCATATTTCTTAAATCGCACTCCCAACCTTGTCCAGCTTTCTCGAACTCCTAACCACCTTTCCCATGGAAGTGGGAAATGGATATAGAACAAGTTGTTAGACACAATGAAGTGTTTTGTTGAGTAGTGTTTATCTATACA